AACTACACTCCCGTGATAGCTGTGCTGCAGTTGTTCTGTTTCCCCTACCCCTTATTACTATCTTAACAAACAGTCCATATTATTCACTTTTTCCTTGCCAGCCAAGTTAAATTAAAAGGCTGATTTAAGTCTCTGTGAATTGACATGACTGATAAATCTACTCGTAGTGGTGCTGGCAGCAACTTAAAATACATGTTTGCTATACAGTTTAAAACTGCATGTGCCACGGTGTCTGCCTTTTCCAATTTTTCATGCAGTTGTGGAGTAGAATAGCCTAGTAGCACATCATTTCTCACCAAGGAAGTTATTTTTCTACTTGGTCTTTAATCAGTGATGCTTTCAATTGTTTGACCTTTATTCCACATTCACATTGTCTTTCTCTATGTCTTTAACAAACACTTTTTGAAAAGGAGAAGTGAGGGCAGCATATATGCTCTAGACATCCCTCTCAGCAAGTGTCAGAATTTCTGCATGCAGCTCCACATTTTTTTTTATATAGCGCAGACTAGTACTCTGGTTTTCTAAGACAGGAGCACGTTTTTACAACTATGACCTTTCCGATTTTGTTGCCTGTTCCTTAAAACTAGTGCTTCCCCATTCACCCGCTAGCGAGAGCAGACCAGTCTGCCATCTATTGCGTGGGCTTATTGCATGCAAGATCATCCCTAGCTAGAGGCGCCTCCTGCTCTGACATCACAAGACGTCACAAGGGCATCCCATACATCAAATATTCTGCAGGGGAGGAAAAAAAGAAATCGGGGGGGGGGTTCTCTACCTAAGCTGAGGGGATTAGGATTAAAACCCAGAGGTTGTGCCTCCACACCACTGCAGAAGCCTCCCTGCCACACAAACATTTAATCGTCAGGACACAGTGGCAATGTTTGAAGTCTTGCTATCAATTCTCACCTGTCAAACCTCAGTGAGGCCAAGCTTACTGAAGAAGAATGGAGTTGGAGGATAGCGTTACTGACGGTGACATGTTACGCTGGTTGTTATTGGACGGTTGAATAGCTAGAAGAGTTGGCTTATGTTTCCCAGAATATTGTCCTGAAGATGTTTTGTATGGCTAAATACAAAAAAACAAATGCAAAAATGGTTAGGTGTCGCTGAGGTAGTTTGTGTCCTTTCTCACGCAGGTCTGTTTGTGTGATGTGATGCACCACATAATTTGTGTTGGTTTTGAAGGATTTAGTCTGCCAGCAAACAGTCTGGTACTTCCCCACAAAGTCAAAACCAAAATCTTTCTGTGCGTTTGTCAGGGCTTGCGAAAACAGCCCCACTAATACTGAAACACATCTCTGGAGATGGGCATGAGTGATTTAACCTTGTATTGATAGCATCAGTCTGTGGATGAATCACTCAAGTCAACTCAAGTAGTTGGGGCCATGGCGAGATGCCATGTGCACATTTTGAGGATTGGCCCACGTCATCTTCCTGTCTGCCTCTATATACGTTTGCCAGAAAGCCTCGCAGCTAGTCTTGGAGTTAACCAGTACCAGCTTTAGGCTAGCTCGACATATTGTCTCGAGAAATGAGAAAACACAGGGCAGGGCACCTCGGGCTGTTTATGCAAGGCTGTCCAAGACTATATCTCAAGAGACCTTTCACATTTAGTCATCAGCAGTTTGCTGGCCGTGATTAGGCAAGAAAACGTCTTTGCCAGGTCGTTGTTTATGTCCCAATGGTACGATAAGAAGAGCAGAATATGAAGGATGCATTTTTGCTCATTTTTATGATACTGCCTTGCAAGATAGTTGATGTTTTACCCAGTTATATAAGTTTTACGGACGGATCTGTTCACAAATTGCAGACAAGCCAGCTTTAGCATGTTTCTTCAATGCAGCAGAGAACCCACAAGGGAAGATGGTTATATTTAGCATCAAAGCAGCATCTGTAAATCTGTGAGAATATAAAATGTCTTGATTGTTTTAGGATATATTCCAAGTACTGCCACAGCATGTGCAGACCAATATATCAGATGATATGCTGCGGTCAGCGCTGTCTCCGAGCTGTCACTTTATTTTGCTTCTGCTGTGGAGGAGGAAATGGGAAATAGGCATGTTCATATTTACACACACATGCACGCGCACACCTCTGACATGGGGAAATCTTGTCAAACCAGCCTGTCTCTGATTCATGACACACTGCCTTGGCCTGACAGGCTTTGCTGGATATTACAAAAGACTCTTGTCGGTTTATTTTGCACACCGGCATCTATTACATGTTTGTCCATGCTGGAAAAAGGATCTCTCCTCCTCTCCTCAGGCAAATTCGTGAGATTGAGTCTCATTCATCTCACCTGGATGTGATTCAAATCTTTGTTGTCGTGCAGAATTTTAAGTAGTTCCTAATAAATGGTTCGACACTATATTTGGTTATGTATGGTTTCTAATTTTAGAGCGGGCTGATATTGATTTTCTCTTTGACTCTCCTCCTGCAGTCAGACTTGGCCGGGCGTGACATAGGTGGCACTATGTTTTCTCCTCAGCGTCACAGGCTGACGGAGCTAATGTGCTGATGAAGCCTTTTGTTCTCCTCCTTCCCCGTCACTTTACAGCGATGCTAGCCAGACACTGGTGAGGACTGGGGATCACACACAGCAGATGTTGTGTGACTGTGTGCTGCTAGTCCCCAGGTGTGGTCCATGGAGATGTGGTATCCTGCTTCTCTTGTGATGTCAGCAGTTCCCTGTGTACTTAAGCCTAATGAGACTTGTTCATTCAGAGTGATTTACGCCACTGCAGAGGTCTGGCAGGGGCTATTCTGAAATCACAAGGGCTGAAGCAGTTTGAGGAGATGAGACACATGTGACAAAGCAGGTTTAGGTTGCGTAGTATCTGCATCAGTACGAAGATGCAGAGTTATTTCCCTTTTGAACATAAGCAAAATTCCCCAGATGGAGCCACGTTGGATGTTCGAGAGGAACAGAAATAACAGTTGTATCGTTGATCCATCTGTTACTTCACTTCCACTTCAGTATTCAGCTGTGCCTTCTGGTTTCTGTCGTCAGTCTACTAGCCTGTCGTAACTTCCATTGTAGCATGTGTACTTTAGTTAACCCTGTGTGTGTACTCTAGTTTATTTAACTAAAGTTGTTTTCTGTCTCTCCCCCCCACCAGCCTTGGGAGCAGCCTACGGCACAGCCAAGAGCGGTACAGGAATAGCTGCCATGTCTGTGATGAGGCCGGAGCTCATCATGAAGTCCATCATCCCAGTGGTCATGGCGGGTATCATAGCCATCTACGGCCTGGTAGTAGCGGTGCTGATTGCCAACCAAATCACAGCAACAGTCCCCCTCTACAAGTGAGTTTGGTTAATCAGTCGTTTTCAGATATTTGTGTCCTCTGCATTGCCTTATAAACCAACAATGAATTTTCCTGCTCACACAAGTCACCTGTGTAGCCACCGTCCTATTGTAGCTCCACTAGATTCATTAATTCTAAGCTGCTAAATGCATTGTATGACACATACCATTATTACAATAAACACAGCCAGTGTGCTTAACCAGTTCTCAGACTGCAGTTTCAGTCTTGTCACATGACTGCACATGCTCTGGACATACTTCCATGTTAACACTGGTCTGTAGTTAAGATGACCTGACAGAAGCAAACTGCGATGTGAATAAGCTCCCTCCGGTAGGCAGTGATGCAATGTAAGCTGTATGTCTAGGGCTTTTATTGGTAAAGTAAGAACAGAAAAGGTAAAGCTAATGAGCTGCTGCTGACAATGTGGGAGGCAAGAAAGAGTTTGGCGTCTTGGTTCTGACTACAGAGCCTCCATGTTGTTATTTTATTACTTTCATAAGTACGGGCACAATGCTAGCTAGAAGCACACAGGTGGCAAGTGATAGTTTAGCACAGGGGTTCCCATCTGGTCCAGCCATGGGCTCCAGATTTCTCCTTAGTCATCACTTCAAGGTCCAAACAGTTTCATATATTCTGTCTCATACTTGTGTTTGGTCGTGTCGTCCAATTAGTTTGCTGTCTCTGTCAAGTAGCTGTCTGTCAGTCACTCACTCTACAGCAGGAAACAGCACTTCAAAATAAAAGCTCTGTACCAGAAATTCATTGTATTTAAAAATAAAAGGGTGTTTTTTGGGAGTCACTTGTGGTCCATTCAGAGTAGACCATGACCCACCAGTTGGGAACCACTAGTTAAGCAGATAAACTGATGTACTGAACCGAATTGGTATTACCGAGAACCGACCCAACCCTATCGTCATTACAGTTGTGGTGTTGTCTCCACCATGCACTCAAGTTACAATAATATTTCAAACTAAATATACAGTATATAAAGTTATAGTTATTGTTCTTGGTGTTGAAGCCCTTTGTCCTTTAAATCTTACTGGAGAGATTCGTCTTGTCTTGTTGCATCAGTTAAAAATATTGCAAGGTAGGAACAGTAAATGGAGCAGAAACCCTAGTGAAGCTGTAGGTAGCAGACTGTTTACTGCTGGGACAAACTCAGACCTTCAGCACCTCATCAAATGAACAGCTGACCTTGGCATGTTTAGTCAAAATATTCTCAGTCACTTAAATCGTTAACCCAGATCATCACCATCCCTTGTGCTGACAAACACTTTGTCTGTGTGTTTTTAGGAGTTTCCTCCATCTGGGCGCCGGGCTGAGTGTGGGCCTCAGCGGGCTGGCAGCAGGCTTCGCAATCGGCATCGTGGGCGACGCGGGCGTGAGGGGCACAGCTCAGCAGCCGAGGCTTTTCGTGGGCATGATCCTCATCTTGATTTTCGCTGAGGTCTTGGGTCTCTACGGGCTCATCGTCGCCCTCATCCTCTCCACGAAATAAAGCACCCAAACATCTCCACTACAAAGATCTGTCCTTTATGTTGCTGCTGGAGAAAAAGTGTAAAATTGGGAAAAAATTGTAAAAAAAAAAAAAAAAAAATTCTGCTCAACTCGAGATGAAAGAAGTGAAGGCGTGGGGAAAAAAAGAATTAAAACAGCTCCATAAATACGGTCTTATCTCAACAATGTGTACAGTCATCCCAATTTGATAGTCAACTTGTAAATGCGCAATGTAGTGATTTGTCTGTCTTGTGTGCGTGTGTGTGTGTTTCAAAAATTGTATGAAGAAGATTCCTTTTTTTTTCCCTCCACTTATTTCAGGGCCTTGAGGCCAGCTGAGGCAGCTTGGCCTCCGGTCTTAGAGAGCTGACCAAAGGGCCGCACAGCTTTTTCTCCTCCCTTATCGACTCGGGAGTTGACACAATTTCTGCATTAATCTTGAGGATCTATTTGTAAAGAGAAATGTATATGGACTTACGATTTTTTTCCACTGATTTTTATTTATAAGAAATTGTTCATTGAACTGTTTAATGCAGCAAAAGTCTTTAATTCCCCAGGATATATTATACATATATACAGACATAAATATCTACATAGATAGATTTAATGCACTGTGGGTTAATTGTGATAAGTGGTTGGAATTCCTCTGGATGTAATTCTTGGTTTAATAATTAAGATTGCCTTTAGTATGTTGCTGGTGAAGTGGGAGTTTTGTGTGTAGCTGTATTCTAATCATTACGCAAACATTCTCAAACTTCAGTGTTTTTCCTGTAGTACTGCTGTTTGCATTAAAGGTGTGTGTGCCCCGTGATGGGTCTCACAAGTGTAATTTCCAAACTTCCATCTCCTCTCCATCTTATTCACCCCGCCTCCTCTTCCTCCTCATCTGTGGCTGTACTTCATCTCTTCCACATTCCAGCCATTACGATCCTGCATGGGTTTCAGTGTTTTGTTGCTGTTGGATATGAAGCCGAGGAGCAGGCTAGTTTCAGAAGATTTAATCCAGATCAAGAAGAGTTAAACGTCCTCTTAAAAAACACAAATCAAAATGACACAAGGAGACTCGTTTGTATCGTTTGTAGCACGCGGCAGGAATCCAGTGAGATTAGCGCTCAAGTTTGGCCTAGTTTTTCCCCCATGCAAGGACTGGTCCAATTTGATCTGGAGTTTGTTTTCTGAAAGTGGAACTGCTGCTGACGCATTTACTAAAGCGCCAATCTACAATCCTGTATTACCACTGATATTGAAGTTATCCTGATGTGTCGACATGTGTGTCACAATCGAATTAAAGAAGATTCCAACTTAGATTTTTGACTGGCTTCCAAACACGGTGCTGTACATTTTGCTGTGACACTGTAAATCCTACTCAGGCAGCATGATGTGGCATTTTTATGACAAAACGACGTCTCTACATTTTGCTGTAAAGCAGATTAGCTGAGTTGCTGTTCTACAGTGTTCACCACTTCCTGTGCAACTGCGGCAAGAGCTGGTAATCTTCACTCTGTGGTCAACGCCTCAAGAACTGTAAGATAACAGCAAAGCTTGCACTTTATTCTTGTCAGATATGTCTTATAAACAAGGTAGAAAACAATGCCAGTAAATAGGTTTATATTGTGTTTAACTGTACAGGACATAAATGCAACACAGACGTCATTACATTTGCTCATGTCTAATACTTCTACCCGTGTGCTAAAATGTTACTCAAGCAGTTTGGAGGCTGTCGAGCAGAGTCTGACAAATGCTGCTGATGGCACTGAAGGTGGCGCTGTCTGGGAACGATTGTATGAAGTCCTTGCCTTCCTCTATACTGGTGCTGAGCGCAGGATCCAAGGGCACTGAACCTGAAATGGAGAGGAAATAATGTTGATTACCTCAACAACACTGCTGAGAAATGATTCACAGCTACTCTGTGCCTTAAAGAAACACTCCAATGTGGCATATTAATATATGATAATCAATAGTGAGAGTCAACTGGATGTTAGCAGGCACTGACTTATTGAATACTTGGCCAAAGCTATGCACCACTCTCAGATACAGCCGGCTTGTCAATGCCACAGGGTGAGCTCAATTAGCTGCATCATTACTCAAGTGATTGATCCGCACACGAAACATAACCACTAAGGGAAACTATTAATATGGTCAGGAATTATTGATGAGCGTGTATCAGGCCCTCACTGAAGCCTTACACTGCACTGACATCTGGATCGCCCATTTTAGCAGCATGGCAGTGATGCAAAATGCCTCCTAAATCATGAAGGGTGGCTGAGGAGTGATGTGCGGTCACGGTGTGTTGTGACACCTGGTGGCCGGATGGTAGTATTACATGTAGTTAAATCCCATTGATATCTCACCTAGGAATATTGATTCTGTCAGCTTGGCTAACTCTTCACCACCTCCTTTTGAGAATATATTGCTGCACTCCTGAAAAAAAAGTGAAATATTTGTTAAAATTAATATTTCAAACTCTCTCTCTCTCTCTCTCTCTCTCAAAAAAAAAGAAGCCCCAATGTCTTGTTTTGTCCATTGCTATTTCTCCTATGAGTTGTATGAAAGATTACATACCGAGCAGTGCGGACAAACAAAGCCGCTCATGTTCTCGACGATGCCCAGGATCCGTACACCTGTCTTCTTACAGAAGGTGATCTCCCTCCTCACATCCCCCGTGGACACTGCCTGTAGCCGACACAAAACCAGACTTGAGTCACACATTGGTCAGATTCCTCTTTCAAAACTAAATTCATAAGTAAGTTTGTCTTCTTGTTCCCATTATAGACAGTTAAAGTCTCTCTGGACTAGTGGGTACCTGAGGTGTGGTGACCAAAACGGCTCCATCAACTCTGTGTTTTTTCAGGTTCTCCAGTACTGCTATATGTTCGTCAGACGTCCCTGGCGGTGTGTCCACTAGCAGCACGTCCAGCTCTCCCCATGCTACATCTGACACAAACTGGCCAATCATAGCTGTGGGACAGGACAGTCAGAGATGGAAAGGATGTTGGGCAGAAGGTGAGGTCATGTTTAAATTCAGAACGTGCAGCACAGAGGTTTGTGTTGAGACATACACTCACTGGCCACTTTATTAGGTTCACCTTCCTAGTATCGGGTTGGACCCCCTGAAAACCTTCCTCAGAGATTTTGGTCCATATTGAAATGATAGCATAACTCATTAGTTACTTGCGTTACAAGCAGTCGAACAGATGTACCTAATAAAGCGGCAGGTGAGTGTATATGACATTACTTTATTTAAGAGAAGAGAACAGCTTACCTGTTTTCTTGGGCCCCCTCCACACCACTGCTTCATCTGGGTCCTCAAGCAAGAAGCCGATGGACATGAGGGCAAGGCTCTTTTCAGCATCAGTGTAGACAGGCACCCATCCTGCATCACACTGGTGCACATCGGTATGACCCACATTCAGCATGCGGGGGATACTGGGCCCACATAGGTCAACATCCAGGATGCCAACCTGATGAACACACAGTTTATTAATTGGTCAGTTTACTTATGCGGCTCCTATCTTGACATTTGTATGAACACAAGTCAGGAACAGAAAGGAAAATGGCTGATAAACTGTGACAGTATTATGAAAGTGACTGCAATTAGTATTTTTTGTACATGCATGTCAACCACGTGAGACACACACTGACACCCTATATTCTGGCACGCACACACACACACACACACACACACACACACACACACACACACACACACACAGCTGGTCCTGGAGCTCACCTTCTTGCCAGCATGCCTGAGAGCCAGAGCTAGCTCCGTGGTGATGGTGCTCTTGCCCACACCTCCCTTCCCTGACAGCACCAACACAACATGCCGGACCTGGGCCAAACTCCCGTCTGGTGTGAAAAGGAGAAAAAATGAGTGAGTTCAGCATGAGCACAGCAAACACACGGAGGGTTATTTCTAGAGTGTCTAAACGCCAGTCACTGTCACATGAGTGGGTAATTTGAACTGTCAGTAATACGAAACAAGGGTCTGGGAGAAATGTCGCAGTTTGGGAAGGATGCACGTTTCATCAGCCGAGGTCACAAGTTCAACATAACTGGGTTAGAGTTACTTTGGGATAATGTTTAACATTATTAACAATTTAATAGCTGTTTTTAATATAAACAATAACTTCTATGAAGACATAAAAACCTTTCGCTTGGCTCCAGTGTTGAACGCTTTAGTGGCAATATTGAAAACTTAAGCTAATTTCCAATTAGCTCCCGCTAACTGGTTAGCTAAGCTATAAATGGGTAACCGTTATAAAACACGCAGCAGTTTCTGAAAGCTGACACCTCTAAAGAACGGAGATACAGCTCGTGTACGTGTCTACACAAAAGAAATAAAGACGTAACCTCCTAACTGACTTTGTTAACCGGTAACTCAGACCTACCATTATTTTGTTCCATGTTTTGGATTTCTCGAATGCTCACAGCTTAAAGCAGAACTACTTCCGTATATCGTCACGCTTTGTGTAACCAACCACACAACGCATGCTCCACATAAGTCCCGCCTCTCGTTCCAAAGCCACCAATAGGCTGCCGGTGCACGCCGCGGTGCATTCAGAGGCAACACAAACGCTTAAAATTTATGGTAAAACAAGTTTTTTTGTGTGTTGGTGAAATGTTTTACATGTATTTGCCTCTTGACTGAGATGACAACGACCTGTACTAAAGGCAAACAGCTGGCTCCTGACATAGGCCTTCATATGTCGACACATACAGCATTATCTTGTTTATCTTATTGTCCCCACCTCCGAAAATCTGCTAAAATAACTCACTTTTTAAAGATTTGTTGGCCCTGCTTCAACAAAATAATTGACGGTAGCTACAGTGTTTGAAGTGTTGTGAATATCTAATAATTTCTGTCACCTGGACCAGTGCTTTTCTGTCTTCCTTTTGCTTTTAAACATTCCCCTCCTTGTTTAATCAAGTCAGCATACCACACATGTTTGCACAAAGGCCAGTTATCATCACTCATATAGTTACCATACAAAGGTAAATGTAATATATTAACATAAACTCCTCCCCCACATGAGGCTTATCCAATAAGCACACAGTGAGGGCGTGGAGAGTAATGTTTACGTCCAGCCTGCTGCAAAGTGGGACAGAGTGCAAACTGCACCTGTCACACAGTTGGATATATTGAGGCACAGTGACGTTCAAATGAGCCACTGCAAGACAGTGTATAGGAAGACTGCTGCAAGGTAAGAGCATAATGCTGCTTACATTGTGAGTCTTAAGATAAAGATACTGCATTACTGAACATACATACAGTATGTGCTTAGACTTTGACATTCAGCTGGTGTTATTAGACTTGCAGTGAGAATTGTTGATACTGTTAGTGCACTGCCCTGTGCAGTAAACACAGGCTTTCTGAAGTGGATCACTGACAAAGGACAGCATGTGCCCATGTTGTATCTGAACAGAAATCTTGTACAGGACATGAACAGCAGTGTGACTTTCAGTAACTGAATATCTGAAGCATACAAATTATTAACATCGCTGTCACAGTCCCACTGCAACTGCATTCATATCATATCAGTCAGATTATTAGCTGACAAAGGTGCTGTAGTTTGCGTTCTCGACTGTGTTGTCCAGTTGATGCTTTTACAGTATGTAGGGTAAAGCCCAATTAAAGTGAGACTATCTGCAGACTAACTAATCTAAATTGTTGACGGTTATCTCCTGCACCTGCTTGCAAAGCAGTCACCAGCTGCTGCGTTCAGTGCTGGCATTAACCGAGACATGCTATCAGGTTCAGGTACAGTGTTTAGTAAATGACGACTCTTGTTGAACAAATGTATAATACTTTTTTTTTTTAAATTACAGGCAAATAATAATACACAAAGCACAGATCACAACATGACATGGCAATATGGTCTCACATAGGAAAATGAAGCAAAATAAGTGGATAAAAGAAAAGACATATAAAAGTTAGCAGGATCAAATCAGTAATTCAAATGATTTCGTTAATATTACTAGCAAAAAAAAATGTGTAAATTAAGTTTATATGACAGGTAGTGAGTAATTATAATTCTATATACTTCCACTTTTCACTGGAGCAAATTTTCTCCCATTTCATGTCATGTTGTGCTACTTTGCAATGGTTTGTAGCAATATTTTTTCCATAAGAAACTGACATTGCACTGTATTTTTCAGGAAGCATGGATTCAATTTTATTCTTGTTTGAGCTTTAAATGAAAACATTTTAACCAATAATAATTGTATTTATTATCTGGGGACATTTTTCACCCCTGACCCCCAATAAAATACTGAAAGGTGTTATTTTAAAAGAAATGTTGAGAGGCCCCAGCCAGCCTTGGATATCACTTGTAATATAATGTAAAATTATACTCTGTAACTCCGAAACTGTAAACAGAAAAACCTTTTCAGAAAAACAAAACACTGCAACTGAGGCAATTGATTGTAATGGTTACTGGCTGTGGAAGTTCAACATAGATACGTTTTTTTTTGTTTTTTTTTTAAAAAAAGCAAACACAATAATCAGTTCTGTTTTCGGTCAATAAATCTGGAACCATAGGGGGACGTTTGCAAAAATATCCAGCTTAGAATCACACTTATGTCAGTACATGCTGTATGAATACAAACTGGATAGAGGCAGAATGCTAATAATGTTTTTGTTTGTTTGTTTTTCAGCTGCAATAGCTTCACTGTTTGTAGCATCACATCCAAACCTTTCTTATCTAGTGAATTAAAGTGCCACATACTGATGTAGGAACAGTTAATATTAGCAGCAGTGTAAACACAAGGCTATTGCAATCTGTGATTGATGATTGGTACACACTGTAGTCACTGGGTCAGGTGACCTTATCTATACAGGAAGCTAGGAAACAGACAGAGCAGAGGGTTGGGTTTAAAGGTTAAAGAAGTGCATGGAAACACTTTCTGCTGCCAACAGCAGCATATGGGACGGATGGAAATAGGTGAACAAGCGCACGAAGATCAGGTCTGTATGTGACTAGACAGGTTTCCACAGAGGAATATTTTGCAGCTTCACACCGAGAGAAAGGAGAGTAGACAGAGAGTGATTTAGGTTAACGCACTTGAACATAGAGAAGCCTCGGGTGACTGTTTGCTCCTCACAACTCTAACTGACCTATTTTCAGTTGTTCAGCAAGTTTGTTTGATATTGTCAAAACATGCTGAGAATCCTAGAACCCTCACACCTTTCTTCGTCAGAAGAAGTTGGAAATTCCAACCTGCATTTTATCAGTCAAACTACAGAAGCTAACATCTTCAAAGTCTTACAAAATGCAAAAGATGAGATACTCTTGTCATTGGTTTAGGATATTTTTTAAAGTAGTATGAGACCTCATTTTGCAGGTAAACTAATACTCAGCTGAATCTGTACGCTGTTAACTCCTAGAAAGCCCTCTTCATTCTGAAATGGGGAATTATTTCTCTCTTTCCTTATTGTAATCTATGTGTATGTATCAACAATAACATGATCCCAAAAAAACAAGTAAGCCTTGAACCAGGAGTTTGACACTAACCTTACTTGACATACATGAAAAGTAGTACATGGCCTTTTGTGCACATGCCAGCTGGTCGTAAAGGTGCCGGGTCTGCTGTCCACAGAGCTGCCATGCTAAGAAGAGCCAGGAACGGCCGGGCTAGGCATTTGGCCTGGAGTGAACAACGGCAAGAGACAGATGCCATGGCAGTGATCCAGCTGTCAGACTGGGAGGAATGGGAGGGCCAGACGACAACACAGGTGAGACTTGGGGGTTTGTGGAGTAGAACAAAAGTAGAGCAAAGTGTGGAGGGGGAAAAGTACTCTTGTCAGTCTTCATCTTGATGAATAATGAAATAAACTTATGAGCCTCAGCTGAGCTTACTTAAAAATAGAAGTTTAAATACAAGACATACACAGACTGAGACATACAACAGCGATTCAGCCTTATACTGTATAGTGTATTTCAACCGTCATACAGATCTGTTTAACACTGGAGTCTGAACATCTACAAGGTCTTCATCTTATAGTATCTTAACCTTCAGACACCCTTTGAGCCTCCTTGCCTGCACTCAAACAGTAAAAGACTCTGAGGCCTTTCAAAATACCTCCCCATGGCCATGGATGAATCAAACACCTTCATACATCTATTATATTATTATTTAGGATGACAGTCACATACTTTTATAGTTAATATCGTTTCCATGACAGTATGACCGGAGAAAGAGACACTAAAAGTATCACTTGCTTGATGTTAGAGGTGATGTTGTCATCAGAACACAGTGGTGCTCCCAAGGGGGGGCCAGGAGGGGGCTAGTGTCCACCTTATACAATTGCTGCCCCTCAGTAAAAACAATCAGAGGTTGATATTTCTGTCTTTAAAAGGGTGTGGTGTGCTCATTTTTTAAGCTAGCATGAAGGTACTGGTATGTTGTGAAACTAGACAACCTTTGGTAGTTTTTTGTTCTGTTAAAGGGTTTTTCTGGGGGGGTAGAGTTTTTCCCGATCTGCTGTGACGGTCCAAGAACAGAGGGATGTTGTATGGGCTTTATAGATAAAATTGAGGCATGCTTTGTGATTGGGCTTTAATGGACTTTGACTTGACCTGATTAATCTGTAAAACACATTGGGTTGCCTTTCGGTATGTAATGTGTTATGTACCATAAAACTTCAATTAGCAGCCCTGGCTATTATTCGCTTAAAGGGCCAGTGTGTAATATTTGGCATGGTTTATTGTCAATCTGAATCTGAATCTGAATATTCAACCCATTAATATGTCTATACAAGTGTATAATCGCTATAAAATAAAATTAGTTTGGTTTTCGTAGCCTTATAATTATGCTTTTATATACATATATATAGCAAGGGCCTTGCTTTAGAGAGGTCGCCATCTTGCACCGCCATGTATGTAAGGCAGCCCGAGCGGACAATCCAGCCAGCCAGAGAACACGTTTTGCGTGTATAAATGAACCAACGAAGACAGTGGAAGGAAGGAAGAAGGAGGAGGAAACAGCAGAGAGTGTTAGTAGTTCATTGATAGAGAGTAGTGAAAAGTTTTTTTAGTTATAAAGTTTGCGAATGGACCACACTTACCACGCAACAGGAGAGAATGAACCCAAACCGTCATCTGCGAGGAAAAGAAGACGCAACTTCACTCCTTGTGATGCACTCTCTGCGGCGCTTTTCCTCCTGATGATATATCTCCCCAACGATGGTAGCAGTAGCACCGAATCCCATTCTGTGCATTCAGCCTCTCTTCTCGCCCGCTCAGCATCAGACACATGGAGTTCCTCATCTGTATGCTCCGGCTCAAACAGGTATGGCTCTGGGTCTGTGTCCGCTACAAGAAACCCTTCAAAATCGCGTTCAAAGTCGTCCATTGCAGCAACTATTGTACGAAGATATTGCTAGGCTAAATAAACAGCTGAGCTCTGTTTACAGGCTACGCTGTCAGTCAGTGTGTGGGCCGGAGGTTGGTGGAGCAGAGAGGGGAGGGGGGGGTCCCCACTCGGTATGGTAAACGAGTATGTGTGTAAAGTTATGAAGTGTGTCTGTTACGCTAGAAGAGTCAGAGTTTGGGACGGAGTCTTTTACCCCCTGGAGTGTTACCGGAGTTTCTGGAGTGCTCAAATAAACGGGCCTTTTTCCCGAACGCTCTTTTGGTCTCCTGCTCGTGAGTGATTCATTACAATATCGTAACATGGCTTAGATTTCTAAATAAACATTCACCTCGTCGCTAGATAAACCTACTCCTGAAAAACTCGTGCGCAAGGCTTTTTGTCCCTACGAGGCCACCGTCATTTACCCGACGGGAGGGGTGAGCGAGTGAGCCCTGCAATCTAGAATTTGACCACTGATGTCACTGTTTTCAACCCATTTTACACACTGGCCCTTTAAATCACTGAAGTCAACAGGCTTATATTTGGGACAGGTGTCCCAAAGACTGGTCTTTAATTTCTTTTACACAAAACTGTTGCTCAGCAAAGATGGGAATGGATGTCTTCGAATAATATCAATTACAAATCATTCATTTAATCTAGCTCAGACAGACAAGGCATCAGAGAGAGAGTTGTGGCACACATTTTACAGCACTCAAGGATTACAGCGCCCGACATACTGACACCACTTTACCCGGTAAAACAATACTCACAACTTGGGTTATTTCTTATGAAAATACCCTTACATTCCATTCATCAGTGGAACCTTACGGACTAAAGGAATGTGAAAAACTTACTGGGTAATCAAGGAATGGACTTTATGACAGCATCAGATGAAGGAAGTCAGTTTTTTTTTACTGTCTTCTCTAGTGCTTATGGTTTCAGTAAAATGAACAAAATGATTTGTGGGGAATCTAACGGAGCTAACGATATGTAGCATCTCCATATTAACAAAAGTTTAAACAGTTATATTTGAATGTGCGATCTAAACGGCTAGCTAACACTAGCTTAAGTGGGTAGCCAATAACCTGATTTATACATGCAATGAACTTCTCTAAAAATGAACTGCTTGGCAACCAGACCAGGCCTCTAATTGAGACAGGCTTTTATTTGTCAAAATGTGTAGCCACATGGGGCTAGTAAAAGGGACTGGGCGTTATATTGGGACTAGGCTTTTAAATGAAGTTTTGGGTTAAGTATATTTGTCTTGCTTTGCCTTGCCTTGCCATTGGTACCAACCATGTTGGCATAGCTTGTCAGGAAGTAGGCTAAATAATGCTCCAAAGTTAGGCTAAATTTTGGCAAAGGAACATCTAGCAAGTCCATTTTCAAAGGGGTCCCTTTAACTCTTATTACATGATATCTGAATCAAGATGGGTTCTATGGGTACTCATGAGTCTCCTCTAAACTTGAGAAGGCTTGCTCCCAGTAAATGGTTTGTTCCTTTACATTCAATGTTCTGCTTCAAATTAAAGCGGTATATTTGTCTTTTTAAGAAAGCAACAACCAGCCTATTTGAAGATCAATGATTCGTCTTTCATGTTTGGATACATCACACATTAAAACAGGATAGTTGTGGAACTCAAAATGTTAACTGTACTGATATTAGTCTGTAAAATAAGAAACCGAAGTATATCAGTATGCTGTTCCTTAACTCTCCATATTGACATAGTTTTTAACTAGTTTATATACTTCAACAGCATCAGCAAATTCCTAAATATCAGTTACAGCTTTTAGTTTTGGTGTGCTACCCCAAGATTTTCAGAGGCCCCATCTGGCCACCCTTATGAAAAGTTTCTGGGGCACCACTTTCAGAACAGACAGATAATTCGTTCTACCTGAGTACCAGTAGTTTTCCACTGGGACTGTCCCCTGTCTGAAATGGCTGTGTGTGAGGCATGCTGAGATCTCCAAAGGCAAGGAAAGGAGGCTCAGTATTTTTGGAAGGGGTCTAATTTTACTTTCTAGCACGCATGGCTTCTGTAACCAATAGGAACCATGACAAGGCTATTTCCTTGGGTCTTTGAAATGTGGCTCTCATTTGGCTCTTTGGACTGTCGAGTGCGCGATAGCAAGGTTCTGATTGTTCCGTCCAGGCTCTTTCGGGTTTTCTTGCTGCTACCAAAACATTATTCTTTAAAAGAGGGCTTCAAGTGGAGTTTAGAAAACGTTGCACACAATCCTCGGGCTCTCTTCACTGGATCTATTAATCCTTTCCCTGCTGCCAAGCCAACGTCTCTAGACAATGGCCACATCTACGAACTCACAAGATACTGTTTGTGCTGTTTGTGTCAACCAGATCAACGATGTGGAGTCTGAGGTGGATTACCTGGAGAGTGCTCAGACCGTATCTGAGGTGGTGGCCTTGCCCAACACAGCGCCGGTGACAGGGGAGTCTTTCTGCCAATGTGACCGACAGGAAGAGCTCATCCCAGGCTTTGGGGTCAGCAGTGACTGCCTCTGTGGGGAGGAGGATGAGGGTGAGCAAAAGCTGAGGAATTCAGTAACAGGCCATATGAACACAGCAGGTAACACTGTAAATTGGCACAAGTGTAGCGTTGAACCATGCAGATCAATCCAAGGCTTTTACAGTATTTTAATAATTGTCTTTAGTGGCATATAACTACATATTCTAATCCTTCCAATAGTTGTTCAGATATTTCAGTTAACAAAGTATGAAACCATTACTATCCAGCTTCTTTAGATGTTCATGTGTTTGTTTTCCCAGGTTTTGACTGGGAGTGGGATGAGCACTTCAAGTCTTCCGGAGCCTTCCTAAGCTGCGACAACAGGAAGGTGAGCTTTCACTCAGACTACAGCTGCGGCACGGCTGCCATCCGTGGCACCAAGGAGCTTACAGACGGCCAACACTTCTGGGAAGTCAAGATGACTTCTCCCGTCTATGGAACCGATATGGTGGGTAGCAGTCCCTCAAATAATACCAAAGATATATTAACAGCAGCCTGAAGATGCTTCTGAATCTCTGTTTGAATATTTAGAAGCATTGCAAACTGTCGTCTTAGTGAGGAGCTAGAACTACAACCTGTTTTCATCCTTTTTGTCCCTGTCGCTGGTGTAGATGGTGGGAATTGGGACTTCAGAGGTGAACCTGGAGAAGTTCAAATTCAGCTTTGGCAGCCTTCTGGGCCATGACGAAGACAGTTGGGGGCTCTCCTACACAGGTCAGAGAGTCAAATACAGGCATCACAATATACAATAGCTTATTAGAGTGATCTGTGGAATTGAATGGGACCTTTCTACCAGTGATGAAAAGTACATTTACATTTTTTTTATATAAGTAGGATTTTAAATGCATGACTTTGAGTATTTTTACAGTGTAGTGTTAGTAGTACTGCATACTTCCTCCACCACAGAAGATAAAAATAAATTCCTGTGTCTTACCTTATGTCTGTTTGAAGGTCTCCTCCAGCACAAAGGGGACAAAGTGAAGTTCTCCTCTCGGTTTGGCCAAGGCTCCATCATAGGAGTGCACCTGGACACCTGGCATGGCACCCTGACCTTCTACAAGAACCGGCACTGCATAGGTGGGGGTTTCTCTTTAATTCAGACTGGTCAAGCAAAACAGCATTTTAGTTGTGACTCTCCTGACATGTTTTCATCCTCTCCTGTTCCAACAGGTGTTGCTGCCACACGGCTGCAGAACAAGAAGTTCTACCCCATGGTGTGCTCCACAGCAGCTAAAAGCAGTATGAAGGTTATCCGTGCCTGCTACACACCCACCTCCCTGCAGTACTTTTGCTGTGCCCAGCTCCGCCAAATGTTGCCCCACTGCCCCGATGTACTTGACGCTATGGAGCTGCCCCCAGGCCTGCGCACCCTCCTCCAAATACAGCTAGGCTGGGTCTTCACCCTCAGCAGCAACCCTGAAGCCTCGGAGCAGCCCGAGGACTTGCCTGAGGACTTCCACGAGGAGATGAGCCTGCCTTCCAGCCCCAGCCCCATCCCGAGCCCAGTCTCCACCCTGAGTGCCTGTGCCTCCCCGAGCCCCTGCACCAGCCCATTACTCGACACAATCCCGCATCAGTGCCCCTGTCAAACGTCACCTCAAAATCAACCTTGCACTTGCCACTGCCCTCCAACTCCTCCCAGCAGCGACTACGACAGCTGCTGCTCCGAACCGGAGGATTACCAATGCAAGAGATGCCGCTGGACATGACGAGTAGTCAAAAACCTATCTGAAAGTGTTTGGCACAAAGCTATTCTACCATTGCCATTGACATCTCCTGTTGGAAATCATGGAGATAAGAGCAGTCTCATCTTTTAGCCAATATTTGTTAATCTACATTTTGAGTGGATTGTTACATCTCTTTTTTATTTAACAAGTTTGTGACAACTTTGTCAGGGAATGGGGAGAAGGGAATGAGTGAGACATGTAAAGAAGTTGAGATTTTAGAAAGACATCGAGGTCATTCATTCTCGTTTTAGCCAATTTCTATCTTGATGTTAACACTGTCTTTGGAGGGCTTGATGTTTGCCAGATTAGACTCTGACAGAGAAAAAAAAAAACACTAACAAAAACTTGGAAAACGTGTTACAGTGTAAATTTGTTATTCTCAGGGATAGACTCCAGGGGGAAAGGAGTTGCTCTTTTGATACTTTGGAAATCACTTTTTGTAAATGTGTTTTGTAATCATCCTTTGGCTTGAACATCAACAATGGTTGTGTTCTTGCTTGAAAAGAGAGTTTGTTTTTCTATTTACAGTTTGTTTATGAACTTTCTTACTCAGGAAATTCTCTAAAATAAAAGAAAAATTACAAGCTCTGTTGCAGCTCATCTTTATAGGCTATTTCACACATAAACATTCATACATAAACATAATATTGTATCAGAATAATACATCACCAGTCACATCGATTCCTTATTTACTTAATTCTTACAATCAGTTAAAGTTCAGATGAGTATAAATAGTGCTTTACTGGGGAGTGAACATGATATCTAAGTAATATTTTTAGCTTGTAAACATCAACATTAACACATTAGCAGCCAAGTGGTGACAAAATGTCATCAGAAACCAGATTAATCCTGGCTGACATCCGTCCATGTCGTTCTCAAGTGGACAGATCAGTCCAGGACCAGCTGGGGGTTCTGAGCTGTGAGGCAGCGGTAAACTCTTGCTGATATCTCCGGCCCTATACGTCTCTCTTTACCTCCGCTTTTCACCAAGAGACCAGCCAGCAGCCCCTTTCTGGCCTCCTCTGACTCCAAGCTCTGGTACGCCTAAAAAATTAAAGAAATGGTTTTTATACCTCCTAAAAAGTATGGGTTTTTTTTAAGCAATAAAACAGCAACACCATTCTCTGTGCACTGAGCTCTACTGAAGTGCACTCAGGTGTACCTGCAGCAGTAGCTGAGGAGACGGGTAGGCTGCTGTCACAGTGGAGGCCACAGCAGGGCTGACTCTGTTCAGCTGCTGGATCTGCCTGCTCCAGACCTGGATCAGCCCCGAGCCATCCCGCTCTACACGAACCCCGCTGGCCCATGAACCATCCACACAGAAGGGCAGCTCTGCTCGCTCCGTTAGCAGTCTGGAAGGACATGGAAGGACATCTTATAAGTGAGGTAAGATTAGTCAGGTAAATATATACATTGTCTGTTAATGTGTCAATGACTAGAGTGCCAAGTAGGACATGCTCCTGGATCAACATCCCACACTGCGTTCCTGGACCAACATTGCAATCAACCAATTGCAGCCCTCTGACATCATCAGTGTACTGCACCCTTTGTGCCTCTTTCAAAATTCCTTTGTGCCTCTTCAGAGCTAAACTAAGTTTTCCAAAAGGAAGTTAAAACAAATGAACAAAATCCTCAGTAACACTGAACAAAAACCTTGAAAGCTACTGCAGGGTTAGCGAGTTAGCTTGCTAACTATGGCTATGGTAGCTTGCTAACTATGGCTATGGTAACAAGTAAATCTGCCAACAGACAAGAATGTTAGTGAGTTAGCTTGCCAAGTAGGTAGGCTATGTTTATGAGCAAAGTTGCCAACAGACAAGAATATCAGCGAGCTAGCTTGCTAAGTAAGTGTGCTTTGCTAACAAGTAAATTTGCCAACAGACAAGAATGTTAGCAAGTTAAGCTTGCTAACTAGGTTGGGTATGCTAACAGGTAACTCTGCCAACCTACAAGAATATTAGCGACCTAGCTTGCTAAGTAGGTATGCAATGCCAACAGACGAAACTGTTAGCAAATTAGCTTGCTAACTAGGTTGGCTATGCTAATGAGTAAACTTGCCAACAGACAAGAATATTTGCGAGCTAGCTTGCCAAGTAGGTATGCTTTGCTAACAAGGAAACTTGCAGACAAGGATGTTAGTGAGTTAGCTTGCCAAGTAGGTAGGCTAAGTTAATGAGTAAACTTGCCAATGAACAAGAACACTAGCAAGCCAACTTGCTAAGTAGGAATGCTATGCTAACATGTAAACTTGCCAACAGACAAGAATGTTTGCGAGTTAGCTTGCTATGTAGGAAGGCTATGCTAATGAGTACTCTCGCCAACAGACAAGAATATTAGCGAGCTAGCTCGCTAATTAGGTATGCTTTGCTAACAAGTAAATTTGCCAATGGACAAGAATGTTAGCGAGTTAGCTTGCTGACTAGATTGGCTATGCTAACAACTGAACACCCCAACAGACAAGAATGTTAGCGAGTTAGCTAGCTAAGTAGGTATCCAATGCTAACAAGTAAACTTGCCAACAGACAAGAATGTTTGCGAGTTAGCTTGCTATGTAGGTAGGCTATGCTAATGAGTAAACTTGCCAATAGACGAGCATATTAGCAAGCTAGCTTGCTGACTACAGTAGGTAGGCTATACTAACAAGTAAACTGTTCACTAACAAAGAATATAGATGATAGCATTTTTCAGTTGTAAATTCCTGCAATTAACAAATTTTACTTTATATTTTTCATCTTGATCCTGGATAGATTTGGTTGGGTTTATCCAGGACCATCATCATCATTATCAAAACGCTGATTCTAGATAACTTCTTTATGTTGACATCAACATAGCAGTGATGGTCCTGGATCAACATGGCAATGATGTCCCTTTATTAATTAATTATGCAGAATAAAAATGATGATGATAGTTCTGGATCAACACCAACACTGCAATCTTGCAAGAAAATAGTTTTGAATTGTCCTATTTGTCCTATTTGGCAAAATCACGTCGTGCAGAGTGCCTGCGTACTTGAAAGGACGTTTTGATAAGGCCTTGGTGACACCACACACATGGTTAGTGACCTCCTGCCAGCCATCCAGGAAGACCAGAGAGATATTCTTGCAGAGCTGCAGGTACACAAGAACCTGGAGAGACATGGAGACAATTTAACAAAAACCCTTATCTTATGTACTTAACTTGATTAGTTAAAAACTAAACCTCAGCTCATCTACCAAGTGCACAGGGATGTGTATATGTGAAGTATATAGAGTGTTTAGCTATCTGTTACCTTCAAACCTTCTGAAACATACAACTGAGCTGCAAAACATCTGCAGAAAGAACACAAAAATGTTGATTAATCCTCCGATTCAAAGTAAACTGACCTCCTCAATGTCCACATTCTCCATTCCCAGTTTGGATTGTAGTGTCTCATCCAGTAAATGCACACCACAAGCATCCATCCTGTTGGTAAGTTAACCATTACGTCAGGTCAGAACGTACATGAAAGCCAACACACAGTTAGTATAAGAAAGTAACTGAGAGTATCTGTCTGTCAGAGGCCACACTCATGGACACGTTCACTGACCTGTAATCTGGCTGAGAGTCTGTCACTAACAGAGTGACCACCTTCTTGGCATCCCGGTTGAGACACTCCAAAATTGGACTAAGGAAAGACCCCGCACCTGTCTCCTCCTCCTCACTGTCTAGCATCTGCAGTGGCAACAAAACAACATGGAGTAGGGCCATACTGTGGGCTGCCATCAAAATGACTTTATTACAACTTAAGAGATTGCTTACTTTCTTCACAGAGATCACTGTGTCCATGAAGTCCGTCAGACTCAGCACCAGAACCACTTGCTCCTCCTCCACAGAGCCCTTGCCATCTTCTCCCTGCTAAAGACAAAACAGTAATGATCCCATTGGAGAAAGTAGAACAAGTAAGAATATTAAAGTAGAAACACTGCCACAATATCCCCATTAATATCCCCAAATTAGACCTGAGGTGCCTACCTGAGGTAAATCTCTGGTCCAGGTGATGCTGCATGGGAGCTGCTGGCTCTCGATGCTAAACCTCCACTCAAAGGCAGCCAGGGCGTCCAACAAGATGTCTGAGCCATCCTGTTGTAGAAGAGCTGGAGGAAAGCACACACACAGGCATACAGATGAACAAACAGCATTTCAGCTTACTCTCCTCTCTGTAGCAGTCATACCCCAGTCAGATGATGCCTTTAAGTGGTCCTTGTTGGCTCAGACACTGAAGCTTGTAGGTTTAAAACACAAATTGTCATTGCCTTATATTTATTTATTGATGCATATCAATTCTGAATATTTGACACAGTTTCAATACTCATTTACCACAGCATCAATACACTGGTACCAGCTGTGCTTTCTCTCTTCTCTTACTGTTGTTTAATACAGTCGTTCTACTGTTCGTTGTTCCTAACCAAAAAAAGAAAAGTCAGTGTTGTCATGTTATAGCCTAGCTGTATTTATCTTTTAGTAAGTATATTAAATTGTATGCCCTAAATGTCAGTTTCCCCTGTGGTATTGAAAATGGTATTGAATAGCCTATTGATATTTTTCAAGGTATTGTATCCAAGTTAGAAATTCCAGTACTGTCTAATTTTTGAGTGATTTATTAGTAAAGGCAGGGGAAAATGTTGATACAGCAAAGTATCGCAATATTTTTGTGTGGCAATATTGTATCATCACACAGTGCCAAGTAGCGATTTTTTTTATTATATAAATTATTAATATTACAAATACAAATTAAAAATCAGGTAACCTACTAGAATTATATAATCATTTGATTTTGTTCTGCTGCAAAAAATGGCTGAGGTGAGATGAACAGACTGAAAACTTTATTTTATTTGACAAAACAGATGTTGACAAAGTTGTCTTTTGGGGACATATTTTACACTTGAGAAAAGGCAATAAGTCACAATATATTTTATGGCAATACTCAGCATATCGCAAAATATTTGAAATCGTGATAATATTGTAACGGAGGTCCTCTGGTGATTCCCACCCCTATTTAGTAGCTTTGTATATTTCAACAGCTTTATAAGTCATTGTTACATCATTTGTACCAATATTTACAGAGGTTAAACAGCACACACAGAAATAATTCAAAATTAGATGACTATAGAGTGAAACAAAAGGCACTTTATTTTATTAGGATACAAATATAACATGAGAAACCCAAATAATAAAGCACATTTTCCCCATTGCATTCAATATAAGTTAAAAACTGACTGCCTTCCAGCATGTTTGGTACTTCTTCTACTTTGATAACATTAAAAACAATGGAAAAATATGAGCATTTTATTTCTTAAAATTAAAATATCTATTCAAAATCTGATTTTTTTTTTATTTGTTTCAATATTTTAATTTTTATTACTTATTTGTTTTACTTTATTTAATTGTCATGTCATTTTTTTTTTATTTCATTTATTTATTTTGCAGCATGAATTATAAAAGATATGCATATTTTTTCCGACCGCCTCTGAAGGCAGCACAGTGTACCTGGATCTATGCAGACAGTCAGACACCTGAGGCAGTTCTCCGGCCGGAGTCTCTTCAGGTCCTCCGCAGCCTCTCTCCT